CACGGAAGACTTAAAGGATGTCTTGGCAAAAACGGTCAAACATAAGGACAAGATAATAAAAAGTAGATAAAATAAATAAAATACCTATTTTTACGAAAACGACACTTCGGTACTCCCGAGAGAGATTCAAAGGGTGTCTCGGCAAATATGACTATACAAATCTAGATAAAATGGCTATTTTTATGAAAACAGCCCTTCAATACTTTCGTGGAAGGTTTAAAGCTGTCTCGGCAAAAATGACCGGACGTAAGGGAAAAATATTAAAAGATGAACAAAGATAGACAAAGTAGCTATTTTACAAGAATGCCCCTTCTGCACTTCCGAGGAAAATTTTAAGGCCGTCTCGGCAAAACGGACGGACAAAACTAGATAAGATGGCTATTTTTATAAAAATAGCCTTTCGGTACTTCCGTAGAAGGTTTAAAGCTATCTCGGCAAAAATGGCCGGACATAAGGGCAAAATGGTAAAAGATGAACAAAGATGGACAAAGTAGCTATTTTACAAAAATGACCCTTTAGTACTTCCGGGGAATATTTTAAGACTGTCTTGGCAAAAGCGGCCGGATACGAGGGCAAAACAGTAAAAGATGACCAAAAATAGCTATATTTAATTATTTCTTATTATTCCTTTTTTTCGAAAATTTTCATGCACATGCGTTTTTTAATTTATGCTTCTTTTTTTTTGAAAAATATGGGCCGAACCCGATGGAGGTTGCCTACGTATCTCACATCCGGTGAGAATCAAATCCGCGTAGTTTGGTGAAACTAACTATTTTTCTCTTTTTGATTTTTTATGAAAAATTAATCTTTACACCTCCCGCTAGACTACTACAAAATCTTAGTAAAAAAAGAATTATTTGTATCAAACTAGGAGAATGATGTTTTTTTAATTTCACTCAACTAATTTTCTAAAGCTGGTCAACAAAGTAAGCAAGCCTTCCAAATGATGTATCAAGTAGCACATAAGTGAATATGATGGTTTCAAAAAGGATACCTGTCTTATACGGACCCGACCCCTATGCCGAACTTCGCTAAGTCAAATGTACGTGATGCAAATAAAGCGAACCTACTAGGGATATCCGTAATGAGGTTTGTTCTTCTAGGTTTAAATTCTAGTGGAGAAAGTATCTAGACAGGCTTACTCGAGCGGAAAACTCGAGCCGAGGAGGGTCAGCGTACCTGTAGCATTACTTTCCGGTTTAGCTGGTGGTGCTCCCCACCTAAAACATATGTGACTAAACTCATTCATCGGGTGGCAAGCACCTCCGCTATCTTAAAGAAAGTGGGCTATGTCAAGAAAATGCCCTATTTTAATTTCAAGAAGACTCAGAGGGGGTGCGTGAGAAGATAGTTTATATGTACAGTTCAATAATATCAAAGCGGTAAAAAGCGGACAAGTAGCACATTAGGCCCAAATAAATCACAATATATACAAAATTAAAAAAGCCAAATAAAGTCAATGCACAAGCTCGAATCCTTGAATTTCCCCAACAGAGTTGCTAGAGCTGGCACACCCCTTTTTACCCCAAAAAGAATATATACCTATTATGGATTGTTATGGGTTAAAGAGTTTTTTCCAATTAACGTGACAAACCTGAATAGAGATTATTTTATTTACAGAGTCGCCACTTGGAATTGATTTTTGGGTGTTCCAAGTCACCTTTTATTTGAATCCCTAGTCAAAGAAAGGTTTGACTCTATTATTAATGGTCCACGAAAATAAAGTTCGGGTAAGAAATTCTATTGACCGTGGAGAAGGTATAAGGCATTTCTCGAGTTCCGTGGTTCTAGCACGGTCGCTTTATTGACTAAAAATGACTTGAATTAATTTTGAACAAACTGTGTTTTATTGGATTTTCATGTTTTACCTATATGCTTTTATTTATTAAAATTATTAAAGAAATATTTAAATAATATTAAATTGTCCTAACCGCACCACGCAAGCGAATGTGCAATTAACACGAATTTTATTGATTTTGTCATAACCGCGCGACGCAAGCGAATCCGCAATCATGACAAGGATTATTAGTACGTTATTACTTTTGAAAAAATTACTACATACGAAGAAATGAATTTTGAAATTACTGAAAAGTTACTATCGCGCTACGCAAGCGAATATGAAATTATGAAAAATAATTAAATTAAAATTTAACTAAAACTATTTGATAAGGTATGAGATTATTGAATTAATTGAATGTCAAACATCATGCTATGCATGCGAGTTCGTGAAGTTAAAGCGCGTCTACTAGTTGGCTAGCATTTAAAATTAATTAGAAGGAAGTAAGTTAATTTAATTAGTAACAAAAATCTGATTTTTATCATTATTTTCTAGCCTTATTGTTGGGAACAATTACGCAAATAAATGTTGGACAAACTCTATCTATTTTAAAGAAATGGGTCAACTTCTTGTTAAAGGAGAAATGGGCCAGCTTATGGATTATAGAGCTGTTGGGCTGCTGGGATTTATTATAAAAAAATGGGCTAGCTGAAATTATTAGGGATTTTTTCATTCCTATATACTATTTAAAACCTTATTACCAAAAATATCCCAGTTTTGAAATTTACCTAACCTAAACACGTTTTAGCTATAAAAAATATACATTTGTTTAAATTAGACTCCTTTCTGTGGTACACTTCCTTATTTAGACATGCAAATTTGGGATAGCTTATATATCAGTTAGAAATTTTAGACGCAATCATCGCACCATAATCAAGGCAAACAGATCTGTACAATCCTTCTATTATGCAGATTTTCTCTGGTTATCATCGCACCATAATCAAGGCAACATATATGCAGAATCCTTCTATTACGCAGATTTTCTCTGGTTTTCCATAAACAAGACAACAAACTCAAAAAAAAAAAAGTTTCTGAAGAAAACAATTGCAAACAATTGGCTACAATTGAATTGAATTTCACGACATAATGTCAAAATTGGCGATTATGCTTCAGCTTAATGGTCGGTGGGATAGTGTTACGAGATACAAAGATTTTGATATTGATGGAATTGTAGTCAATGAAGATTCAAATTATAGTTAATTGAATTTCGCAATTACAGAGCATCTAATGATCAATACCTCTGCAAAAATTATCAAAATCAAATACACTGTCAACGAACGTTGTCCTCCAATACAAATTCGGAACGATATGGGAGTTCAAGTGTATATGGAGACTAAAAAGGAAAACAAAAACTTAGGATTGTATCTGTTGTGTATAACAGTACGTGATTTTGATTTGGAATGCAGTATGTCGAATGCAAGCACAATTACAGGTTTGCTATGTTTTTGCAGTGCTGATGTTTTTCAATTTCAAGTGTTCTATAATTTTACTACAAATTATCTACAACTATAATACATAACAAATGTAGTTCAACTGTTTTGTCTCTAAATACAATTGAAGTGTACCTGTTACACAGTACTTAAGGTTTGAAAAAATAAAAATATGATCACAGAATAAAGTATCTACTAGTATTCTGTTAAATACTGAACACCTGAATATACAGAGGTCTGAATTACTATACTTTTAATTAAGTGCAGGTACTTCTGATTATCGTAATACTAACGTGGTACAATTGTCAAGCAATTGTAACATAATTGGAGAAGTAACAAGAACGGTGAAGTTGATTGATATGCCAACGTCTCAGGCAATTGTGGAATATGAAAGTATCATCATAACAGAATATGCGCCAAATGTAATTGAAGTAGGCCAAGTTTACCAACACAAGCAAACAATTGTCAGTGCAATGAAGTACTATTTTGTCGTGAATAAGTTTCAATTTAGGGTGAAAAGTTCTAGTGCAAGAAGGTATGAACATTTTATTTGTCAAATTCATATTGTGTATAAGTTGTAGTTTTTATGTATATAAATTGTTTAAAATAATTTGTTGTGCATAAACAACCTCGTATTATGTAGCTACAATTTGCATAATATTTTTTAATTATTTTTATTCTATAGCTACTGCCTCGTATGTGTTGGGGACAATTGTACGTGGCACTTCAAGTCCACCAGCATAAATGAATCAACATTGTTCAAGGTTCGAAAATTCAACAGCTTGCACACATGCTCTTTGATGGACAACACATATATACAACGCAAAGCTACTATCATGGTAGTTGGCAGCATGGTGATGCCAAAATATACAGATCCTAAGACAATATACACACCAAAAGACATACAAACTCACATGTTGTCGGAACATGGTGTAAACTTAACATAAATGCAAGCTTGGAGAGCGAAGGAAAAGACTTTGGAATTTTTGAGAGGTCATCCTGCTGATTCCTACAGTCACTTGCCGAATTATTTGTATATTCTGGAAAAGACTTATCCGGGGTCGGTAGTAAAATTGCAGAAGACTGAAGATGACTGTTTCTTGTATGCATTTGTTGCTCTTAGTACGTCCATCAAGGGTTGGGAGCATTGTAGGCCAGTTGTAGTAGTCGATGGCACCTTCTTAAAGTCGGCATATAGGGGAATCATGCTAACAGCTAGCAAAATGGATGTAGTAGGTAATGTAGATTAATTATAAAAATATTGTAATAAAGTTGTTTCTGAAACTGGATTTTTTACATTTTCAAGTTTTATTACTGAAATTGAATTTCTTTCTGCTACCTATGTGATAGGTAGCATATTACCACGTTGATTAAGAAAATGACGCATCATGGAGGTGGTGTTTTGAGCAATTCAAACATGCATATGGTAAAAAACCAAATATGTGCATTGTTTTGGACCAGAAGGAGAGTATATTGAAGGCATCATCTACTGTTTATACCGGCATGCCACATTTTGCTTGCATGTGGCATATTTGGACAAATGTAAGGTCAAAGTTCAAGAAAGGTCATCTAAAGTTAAGCGAATTATATTTTGCCACGACAAGATCATACACGCTTGATAAATTTAATGAAAGAATGTCAAAGATTGAAGAGATCGACACACGTGTTAAAGAATACCTATATGATATTGGCTATCACATATGGTCTTGGGTATATGCTACGGTGAACAGAACATGGACGATGACATCAATCATTGCAGAGTCCTTGATGCGATAGCTAAAGATGCAAGAGAGCTGCATGTAGTTGAACTATTAGAGTACATGAGGACTCTTCATGAAGGACTAATGAAAAGTTATCGAATACAAAGGGTACGTTCCCATACCTTGGGAAGAGTTGGAGGACAACATGACATTATAGCAGAAGATGAGAGTAAGTTATGCCCAATAACATCAGATCATTTATTTTATCAAACTAAATATATACTGATAATTGTAGATATGTTGTTGTATAATTGTAGTTATTTTGTAGATCTGTAGCTGACAACTTGTTGTGTGTTTGTAATGAAATTATAGGTGAGGGCTTCAACAGATTACATCCATACTGTGATAGATGGTATGAAGCGCCTTATTGTTTGCCTTCAAAACAAGAGATGTAGTTGTGGACAATTCCAGCTTGATGAACTTCCTTGTCCACATGCTTTGGCGGCTTTGAGGCACATGAACGAGTCTTTTGAAAACTATTATTCTCCTTATTACACGAAGGACAGCCTTTTGCAGACTTATGAAATACTAATAGACCTGCTGCCTGATGAAAGCAAATGGAATGTGCCACAACATATAGCAGAAGAAGTTGTAATGCCACCTACTGGGAAAAGGCAGCCAGGGAGACCTCAAAAACAAAGATACAAACCATATAATTAAAAAAAATACAAAGAAGTACAAGGTTTCATGTGGCAACTGCGGACAAGAAGGGCATAAAAAAGATCTTGTAGGAATGCTCCCAAAAGGAAATAAGAATTGATATAGTTTTTTTACTGAGTACTATTGATGATAATCTTTCCTTCAAGACATATTCAGTTGTATTTGTTCTGTTCTGGATAATTATAGTTGTGGTGTAATTGTGTTGCTAATTTTAATAAAGATTGTCTCAAATAATGAATGTTTGGTAAACAGATTTCAACTCTTAATGCAATTGGTTTCTAGTTATTTTGTTCAAAAACTGGGTTTATTTATTAGTTTTAAGCTTTTCCTAACAACACTACTAAAATTGAATAGATTCTGTATTTTTGTATAGTAGTTGTAGACATAATTGTAGTTATGCTGTAAAGAAATTATATAGTACCAATATCGAGATCAAATACTAACAACTTTCAGTAAAAAAATATGCTACATATGTTTTCTATTGTAAGTAGTAGAATTCTGAACAAAATAACATAACAAAAGGTAAAACAACTGTAGCACAAATCTGCTACAAAATAAATTGTAACTGAATTGTTATTAATAAAGATTTTTTCTACAACTTTAATATAATCCAGCTACAACTAAACACTTTCACTACAATTTTTCTACTGAAAAGGGCAACTAATTCTTTTTGTTCTGGACTCGTGTTCTCTTCCTCACAGCTGGTGCGCCTTTTCTTCTTGCTAATCTCCCAGTTACCTCACTTTCACTAATTGCATCAAGCTCTTGATTTTTCCTAGAATAATCCCAAAGGAGCGCTCCATAGCGTCTACGGTGTTGATCAATATCAGAAAGGTCTTCCTTTGAAATCGAGAGTTGTCCTATGCTGACATATTCTGCAAATGCCGCCACGTATATGCCACAGTCACTGCAATAAATAATAGTAGAAAAGATTTAGCATTCAATGTAAAATACAATTGTTTAAATTGAAGGAAAAGCAGCACATACAGTGATCCCTCTTTTTACTGGGGTATCTCACCGACCAACCACTGAATGTCAAGAGGATCAGTAACACCTTTTTTAATGTATGCCTTTGTGTTCTTGTAGTTGATGTCTGGACGCTTGCCATTGAAGTCGGTGCATGACAAGTAAATGGGGGATCATAATAGCAAACTTGTCGACAACAGATTCAATAAGTTTGTGATTACGTGAAGAGACCATAATATCATAAACATATAGAACCCTATCGGTAATGTCAAACACAACCAACAACTAATGAAATTTCTCAACAATGTTCATGGGCATAATCACAAAATCAACTTTGTCCCATGCAACATTTGCAAGTAATCGGTACCCAATATGTATTCTAATACGACGTCCTGAGTTTGACAAAAACAAACTTCCTATCGACATGGGCATTATTGTACCTCTCATAAATTTGTTCTATTCTAGTCTTGAACATACAGTCAGTGGTTGTAAATCGTGTTATGTTTTCAGGACCATACTTTACTCTCTTCCTCAAATAGTATAAAATAACATCAATGTGCTGCAAAAAAAAATAGATTTCATTATTTCTCACTACTGCATATAATCTAACTACAATTTTCAAAAAATAAATCTACAGATATCTAAAATAACAGAATACAGCTAATCATTAAATTCTGTTAGGGTATGAGTGTACGGTATTGTTGAGGATTTGCCCGGGATGTGCCAAAGTATAAAACTAGTCATTTTTATCAACTTTTTCCACTCCAAGATCAAACCACGGGTTGAGCTGGTTATCTTTTATAGTATAAGGCACCTTCTTCTTATTTAAAGACATAGCAAGTACAATTAAAATATAGTTGCAACTGGAAATCCATAAATTCTATGTAGTAGATAATACGAAGAAGTGTATAATCTAACCTCTTTGAAACCGTTTCTGTACCTAAATATAACTATATATTGAATTCTTCCAACAAATCAGGATCAATATCGTCGCCAATAACCCTAGTAAGTAGATGCTTGATGTTGAAAATTGGAGGAGGTCCATCAGAAGTGCTTCCACCAGAACTGAAATAAGGGAGCAAGGGAGATCTGTCATGCTTTCCAGAACCCTTGTTCTTCCTTGATGGACAGGGGTTGTTTCATCTTCATTAACCTCGCCGAACTTAACTATTTGTGAGAAGTTCTCGAGCAGCTCAAAATCATCAAGTGTTATTGTCCTTTTTCCAGATCCGGAGTCATTGTCCGAGTCAGCTACATTGATGAAGTCGACTGGCTTACCTACAAATTAATAACAAAATAATAACATTGTATGTTGCTTGAATCAGAAATGTTGGGAAACTATATATGATATGAACGCTGTTATTTTTTTCTACAATTATATTGTAATATATAATACCACTGAAATATTCATTGCAATCCTCTCCTTGTTGTATAATATTTGCTTCTTGAATTGGAGATTGCAAATGCATAGTCTCATTCTCCTCATTGAAATGTTCTCCTTGTATGCCAACATTTGCATCCTGTTTTGGAGAGTGCACATGCATATAATTTCCTTCTCGGTGACAACAAATGTGTACAACTTAAGAGAATTGTAGATCATTTGTAGTAAAGTCAAATAAAAACTGTAGATAAATTGTAACCGCCGAACGACGTGCTAGAGCTCAAAATGATCGGTTGGGTCGTTACATGCCCAAAATATGTATCCAAAATCAGGCAATTCACCTTCTCATGAAGTATGAATTGAACGCATCCGGTTCTCATTTTTTTACAACAGAGATAAAAGGTGAGAGGCTGAATTTTGGGTTGAGGGAGTTTGACCTTATCATTAGCCTTAGATGTTTTATAGAAGTAACGGACTTTGGTTACACAACTAAGTATGACAGTAAAATAATGAGGAGTTATTTTCCGAATAAGAAAAAAGTTAAGAAGTCGTACTTGAAACAAATTGTAACTAGCCTTAGTTGGGTGAATGATGAGAATGCAGTCAAGCTGTGTATTCTCTATCTGATAAAATTCTTCCTCTGTCCTTCAGAGAAAGATAATGGTTTGATAGACCACTTTAGGTTTTATTTGGTGGACTCGGGGCAGTATGCGAATTTCGCATGGGGTATTGAAGCTTATACACTATTGCTTCAGCCTGTTAGGCATAAGCTGAACCTTTCTGTGCATTTTTATCTCATTCGAGATTTTCCACTCGCTATGTAAATCTGGTTGTATGAGTGTTGCTCTACAGTCAACACTGATATAGCTACAAGGGTTGGTAATTCAATCTCCCGCATACTTAACTAGATAGCTAGTAAGGACAAGATATGGATTTCTAAATTGGAAGAGAGGATGATCAAACCATTATGGATCAAGGTAAACGTTTTTCACTTTTGTATAAGGTATCTCAAAATATTGACACACTTAACACAACTAGACTACAATTTTATGGTATAGACAATATAAATACAAATTATCTACACATTTTATACATTTGATGACTAGGTCCCTCACATTTTTATTTCATTCAGTTCACCAACATGATTGAAGCCCCTCGAAGAGCTTTCTAGAATGACTTTGCCAGACAAAGTTGAACACATCCTTGGAGAAGCTGAAACGCAGGCCGAGCATCCGACAGATGCTCCATCTTCATCTGACAATAAGCAGGCAATTGAAATAAATGACAAGAAAGATATTTTGAAACAACTAAAAAAATTAAGAAAAGATGTTGATAAGGTAACAACTGATGATATTCCTAGTTAGTTTCTTTAATTTATGTTATGCAAATTATTTTTTTAACTCTTTCTATTTTTATACTTAGGTCGGTTCAGACCTTTGATTGTTCAAGAAAGAGGCATACCTAATTCTTGATTTTTAGGCTTCTTTATATATATGTAAGCCTCTTATTGTCAGATACATTATAAGTATTTTTTGTTCTTTTATGTTTTTGAAGAACTAGGTAGAATTCGAGTGCTACTCAATGATTCCATCAAGTCTGTGTTACAGGCAATAAAAAGTCAACAGGATACTAACATGGGTGCTAAGGTTTCATTCAAAATATATTCATTTTGGAAAATATTTTTTACCATATTTATGTTTATAATAGCATTCATAAAGTATATAGCCTAACAAATTCTGCTTGCAGTTTACTGGCAGTTCTGCTAAAAATGATGAGCATTACAAAAACAAAAGAACACACAAGGGTTTTGAGAGAGAAATCAGAAAGTTTGGGAGAGATATTGTAAAAGATATTTGAACAAAATGGAAGAGAGCATTAATGGAGGGAGAGAATATCAAAATCGTGGGGGCTATAGATAGAGAAATATGGGGGAGTGGGTTATGTACGTTAGCGAGATTATAGGAGTTAATTGATATCTCATTTAATTCCTAAAATATATATAATTAGTAAATTGTATATGCCTATGTAATTAAATTGAAACTTGAGTAGGGAGAGTAATAAGGTTTCGGTCAAAATCTACAATATATCTACAATTTAAATACAATATTTTTGAACATAATCTAGTAAAAAACTACAATTTATGTACAGTTTATATACAACTTATATACAATTCTGTTAGTTGTATATATTTTGTATGTCGTTTCTACACCTGAAATACAAAATATATATAACTTGTTTAAGTCTTCTTCGAGTTCCAATATGAAATTATAACCAAAACAACCTCGAATCCTCATCTAATTCTCTCAAATTGAGATATATAAACTCCAAAGAATATTCCCAATCATTTGTAACCACACCCAATCCATACAAATATCAATTTCACAAATTTTGATTTTCGAATTCAAAGCTTTGAAGCTTTTTAATGGCTATCAATGGAGTTTTTAATGGATTAACAAGGTTCCCAATTCAATCTACTCGCTTCTCATTAATACTATTTAATTTATTGATTTCAATCAACTAAAAGAATTCTACTTAGAGATATTAAGCTAGCATCCTAGAATTAAACCAACAAATCTATAGAGTACAAGAAACTGAGCGTTATAATTTGAAAACAAAAAGTGGGTTGCACGGAATTAATTGCAATGTTCTAGCT